TCCCTCCCCGTAGGAGGGTGGCACCGAGGAAGGCCGTCTCCTGTCCAGGGCAGGGGCCCTGGGGACTGCCACCCACTCTCCCTCCCAGAGATGGTCCTGAGCAGCTCCCAGGCCACAGGGTCATGCTCAGGCGGGATTCTGGTTAGGTTTGGGGTTTGGGGTGTGCAGGGCCTGGCGGCCTGCTGCGCTACCTCCTGGGGCCCCTTCTCCGCCTCGTGGGTTTGCCAGTATCTGCATTTAGTTTAGTCCTTTCGCAATGATTCTCTGCCTGCTCCCTACGGCCCCAGGGGAGACCGAGGGAAGGGGGGGTTGAGCTGGCAGGTGCCTTGTGAAAAGGGTCCCTTCGTGTTGGAGTCCTGCCAGGCGGGCCTGGCCCAGCACCAGCTGTCGGGGGGAGGGGCAAGCTATGGCAGGGCTTTATCGCAGAAGTGCCCAGTGCCCGCGTTGTCCACCGCACCCCAGGGCACCACCAGCCAGCCCTGCAGACCACCCCCGGTCAGGCACAGTGGTGTCAGCTTCTCTGGTTTCTCTGAGCCTCGCAAGAACCTCAAGAGGCTGTGGGGCTCAGGGACAGGAAGTGAGCTGCCCCAGGTGACAATGCAGGTTGTCCGCAGACCCTGTCAGTGGGACTCAAAGGCCAGGTCCTTTCCCACTGCACCACTTCCCCTCTGTGGCCAGGCTGCCCTGTCTTAGCCACAGCCCCAGGCCGTCCTGCCCCTGCTCGCTGAGGGGTGGAGACACAGGTGTCATGCCGCATAGTCCCCTCCTCACCCGGGAGGCCCTGCCCCCTCCCAGGGCTGGGAAATACCACGCCTGGGGCCAGAACACTCAGCTAGGCCGCCTCCTCTAGAGAATGCGTTCCCTGGGGTGGCCGAGGGCTGCCCACAGCCAGGTGGCCTAAGGGGACAAAAGAACTTGTGACCCTGAACAAGCCCCGCCCCTCTGATGCCTCATCCGTGCAAGTCAGGCCCAGACACCCCACTCCTTCCTCTGTGCTCAGAGCCTGGGCCCGGCAGCTTTCAGACCTGTGCCCACCCTCAGTAACGGCCTCCGGCGCGACCGCATTGGGACTGTGGTCAGCCCGAGAGCTCTCACATTTGCATCAGGCTTTATGTTCCCAGTTCTCCCAACAGGCTGGGGAGAAAGGCATGGATTAGTCTGATTCCATCCTACAGATGAGGAAACTGAGGCTCATGAGGACAGGTGACCTGCCCGAGGTCATGAAAATGTGAGCAGCCGAGCACGGGGTCTCCTGCCCGCCTCCACCCGACTGCAGCACCAAGCGCCGGCTGTGGGCGCCGTTGCGTGTAAAGACTGGACTTCTGTGACTTCCCTTGGTCAAAGTGCTTCCTGGACGGAGTCGCTAGCCCCCAGGCAGTGCAAAGCAGCCACACTGCCTGGCGAGGGCAGCAGGCCTGCTGTGGGGGGGTCGCTCAGGTCTGCTGTGAGGGAGGGTCGGCCTCTGGATTTCAGGGCAGGGCGCCTGCCAAGGTCACCGGAACCAGCAGCAGTGACAGCATCGTGTCTCCCCAGCACTTGGAAGGGTCCCAGATCCTCGGCTGGAGAATGTGATGCCATTTCTCTTGTTAAATGGCACCAGGTGGCAAAGAAAATGTGGCACAGGGACTGGAGAGACAGAAGCGTGCCCCATGTTGGCTGGGGGAGGTTGGGAGGGTGGAGAGGACCTCCCCTCATCTCCAGCAAAAAGTGACATGGCCAGAGGGGTTGGCGGGCTATGACCACACTGCCTTCCTGTCTTGCTTGGACACCATGCTCCATCGGCCCTAAAGACCTATCCTACCCTCCACTGCCCCCACACTGCCTGCAAAGACCCCCTTCATGGCCCCAGCTATTGAAGGGCTGAAGACGGAGATGGGTTTAGGAGTCACGGGCCCTCCGAAAAGGCCCCTTCTGGACCTCTGCCCACTCCCTCCGAGACCGACACACACTTTACCTCTCAGCTCCAAGCTCAACCTTCAACTCTGGAACCAACCCCCAACCTCGGCACAGGGATTGGCCTCCTTCCCAGATGCCGAAGGAGCTCCTGGTGCCAGCTGCAGACGCTGGTCCCTGTCCTCCTCCTGGTGCGGGCCAGGGCTCCAACCTGCTCACCGTCCTCTCCTCCAAGAAGCCTCCCTACTGCACTTGGGCGCCTAGCAGCCCTGTCCTGGGGTGCAGACTCTAACATGTGGGAGCGGTGCTTTAAGAGACTACCCTTCCAGATGGCTTTCTCAGAGACGAAGTGAAAAGCAAGGATTGGGGCCAGAGGTTGGCTCTGCCACCGACTTGCTATGTGACTGTGGACGCAGCTCTGTTTCACATTAACTGTGAAATGCGGAACATCATCGTCCTCGCAGGTCTGCTGGGGGGCAGTACAGGAGTGTCTGTGAGGAGAGCTCCATAGAGCATGAAAAGTCCTGCCAACGTCTGGTGACACTT